CTTATATGGAAGAGACGTGTCATGTTGGACCTCGTGTCAGACACTGACACTCTGTGAACACTTCTAAAAATATGTCCACCACTTTTTCAATGTGTCTTCAAAAAATTTAAATAATAACATCAAACACTTTAAAGACACTTTGCGGACACTTCGGTGAACCTTTCGAGCACTATTTTTATGATGATTCTCTGCATAGTCTGCATTTTTGGGAAAGTAACTCATGCACTCTAAATATGTTTTAAAATATTTCTAAGATGGATACATCATATATGTATTTCAATGTTCTATAATAGTTTCGCATTTTACATCATAAGAATGCAATTGTTTTGTGAATGATATCTTGATGTTTAAGTTGTGAAATATACGACCTTTTAATTTTAATTAGTGTTATGTTGCATACTATGAAGCATGGACATGCCAAAATGGAAGCCTTGGCGGTGTCGGATACGGGGACACGCCGGGGACACGTATGCCCCTTTAATTAATTTATTTTTTTGGTATAGGACACGTCGGGGACACGGCGGCACATAGCAAGAGGACATGGCAAGGGGAACAAAACAGAAAACCCTAATTCGAAGAAAGAGAAGAAGAGAGCTAAATCCAAAATCAGAAGAAGAAAAAGAGAGAAGTGCGAACCTGTTCATCTCCATCTCGATCGATCGATCTCCATCTCCATCTCCATCTCCAGTTGATCTTCCATCACTTCTTGACCTGGTACGTCTCTATTCTCTCTCTTCTCTGGTTCGCCTCTCGTCTCTCTCTCTTCTCCCTTGTCTAGCTCGCCTCGCCTCATCTCTCTCTCTCTCCTCTTCTTTCATCCTTTCGTCTGCCTCTCTTCTTTCCCCCCCTTTCGTTTGCCCCCCCCCTCTCTCTCTCAAACTGAAATGTTTCATTGACCATCTCAAAAGATAATATACTATATATATTAATAGTTATTATATAACATATAATATACTTATAAGATAATATATAATACATGTTATAGGATAATATATATTTATACATATTAATAAATAAATAAATAAACACATACAAAATAAAATAAAAAAATTAATTGGTACACATTATTTAAAAAATATAATAAATAAATAAAATAATTAATGCGTATTAAAATAAAAATATTTTTTAAAAAAAAAAAAAATTTGCCGTGTCCTCCGTTGTGTTCGTGTCCTCATTTTTTTGAAATCGCCGAGCCCATGTCCATGTTTATGCTTCATAGGTGCTTATATTCATCTATATGTATTTCTTCTATAGATGCTTCTCTAAAAAGAATTCATCCAGTTTGTCTCCGGTTCTAGAAGATTTGAGTATGTTTAAAATTTAATTAATATTACTTGAAATGATTTTTTGATACAATTTAATGTTATAAATAACTTTATCTTCACATATTTTTTCAGAGGTGGCTACACAGTACTCATCAACACATGGAAACGAAATTCTCTTCTTAAGCAATCTGTTGCTCATTATGCATCCTGTGGTGGGACTGATGCGATACATGTAGTGTGGAGTGAAAGTGATCCGCCATCACATAGTCTAAAAGCATACCTTAATAATATTGTGCTGTCAAAGTCACAGACATCTCAGAAAACCAACTTCAAGTTTGACATAAATAAGGAGGATAATTTAAACAAAAGATTTAAGCCAATTGAAGATCTCAAAACAGATGCAATTTTTTCAGTCGATGTTGATGTAATTGTTCCGTGCCGTACCCTGGATTTTGCATTTGCTGTATGGCAAACTGCTCCATTTACTATGGTGGGATTTGTTCCTCGCATGCATTGGCTGGATCAGGAGGTTAGTTGTTTCATATCTACAGTGATATTCTTCAGGACTTTTTTAGGTGTTGTTTTGGGGGGAAACTCAAGAACCAGGTCAGCTGAGGATGAGGCTGAGGCTAACTTCCTAAGAAGCATGGACACTTTTACGAAGGTAATGTGTCGTGTCTGACACCAACACGACATGACACTCATCGGCTATGTTACACAGACTCTTCAAAATAAATCAAATACCCGTGTCGGACACCCGACACTCGGATAAGGGTATGGGATATGTGTCGGATACTTTTCAAGGGATACTTATATAATTTATATAATTATGTATAACACTATTATTATGTGTATATTTTGTTGTATAATTGCTATAAATGTATTTTTGACATTGTAAGTTACATATAGTACCATTTATCTCACATACTTGATTAAAAATATAAAAATATAACATTTTCTTGCCGAGTCCGCGTATCCTTAAATTTGTGGTTTGATGAGTCCAACCTCTACCTGACACCCATACCTGAGTCCATGTAACATAGCTCACTAGACACTTCCTAACACTTCAACAGACATAAAACACATTCCAAGTTTGAATAAACTTGGAATCCAATGATAAAACAAGGTGGAATTACATCCCAATGGGAGAAATTTTTTTTTTTTACAGAAAACCACTTGCACCCCACATGTTTTTGTACTTTTTTTTTTTTAATCTGTTCTACTGTGTTGAAATTCCCCCATAAAACAAAAACAATGTAAATTATACCTATTTTTCTCTTTTAGACCTTAAAAAATTATTATCTTTGACTTATATACATATGACATATAATAATTATTTATCCTTATATGTGACATATAATAAATATAAAAAATTATATATTTTGCACAAGTCTCCCGTTACATTTTTTGAAAATATTCATGTCGGCATGTCCGTGTCCGTATACGTATCCGTGTCCGTGTCGGTGCTTCTTAGCTGACTGGTTTTATGGTGGATAGTGTTTGCTAAAGCCACTTTCTTCTGCAGTGCTTGAAATCTGCATAAGTTGCAAAATAAGCTCTTCCTGAAACCAACTCTTTATTGGTATTCATGGATGGGACCTGATCTGAAGCACTTCTTGAGACTTCCAAACAACCTCTTAAAGGTGCACTAGTATTAGGATTTATGTGCACTAGTATTAGGATTTATGCTGATGATACATTTCCATGTATATTGTACGAGGTCACTCCTACACTAGAATGCAGAAACCTTGTTAGACGGGCAAGAAGTTTTTCTTCTTGTTTAAATTTTTGTGATTTTCATTTGTTCAAAGATTCTTCTTGTACTTAATATAATACACTGCTATGCTTGCCTTTCATCCAATAATAAGCTGTTTAACACTTGCCGTGTTGCATGAAAAAACCAACCATACAGTGCCACTACCTTAAGGCCCTATATCATTCGTTCAAAGATTCCAACATCTATTTTTATTGAACGCTACCTACTTATTTGCTTTAGATGCTACCCTATTCAAACCTATTGAATATGTTTTACAGTTTTTTTATTTGCTTTCTGCTTCCCTTTTTCGATTTTGTATATGCAAATTTAGAAATTAGTTTCCATGAACCCAAGCCCACTTCTTAAAATCTCATTATCTAGAAATATTTTAATAATCTCTTTGAACTGCCTTACTGTGCATACTTTTTCCACTAGCAAGCTAAAAAATTATAAGTAATTGAATGAGATCTCTTATTGTTAGTGAAATTATCTTTGGTATACTCCAGCTATGACATCTTTTTGTCATATACCAGCTAAAATTGTCCTGCTAATGTAGAGAGGATATATGCGCTTATCAACAATTGTTTTTTGTGCTAGTCCTATCAGATTTTAGAATAGGATAAACCTTTTCTTAAGCATTTCACCTTTCATTTTACAGCAAGTTTATTGTCAGATAATCACTTACTAACACAGCAGCTCTGAGCATCTATATGTATCTGACCCTGGAAATCTACTTTTTCTTTTCTTCCTTCTCTCTCATGGAATTTCATTTTGTTCACTGCATCCCCTGGGACAATGAAGTCTTGGACATGAACTTGTGTGGTGCCTTTTATTATCTAAAGTTAATTCCAATCTTCTCTGCTTTTTGTTTGATATTGTTCTTTCTTCTAATTCAGAAAAATGGCATCACATATTTCAAGTATGAAGGATGGTGGTCAGTTTGGTGGATGGGCACTTACAGTATGGTTCTCTCCAAAGCAGCATTCTTTCACAGGAAGTATTTAGATTTGTACACTCATAAAATGCCCTCGTCGATTTATGATTACATAACCAGAGAGAGGTATCACCGAATCAGATGATTAACCGATTTTTTCCTACTTTTCTGATGAGACTGAATGTATGGTTGATGTATAAATTTACTTATTTATTTTCCCAGAAGCTGTGAAGACATTGCAATGTCCCTGCTTATTGCAAATGCCACTGATGCGCCCCCAATATGGGTCAAAGGTAATGGCTGCACCTCTTTCTTCCTTCTTTCCTTTTCATTTATGTTCTATTTTTATGCATTTGCTGAACTCTGGATATGCCTAGGAGATGCTCATTTTTATTATCTGATCAATCTGAACTATGTTTGGTTTACAGATACTCTCTCAAAGATGTTTTTCATAGAAAATTGGGCAAATTACACTAATAGTCCTTATAGTTTAGGGCTCGTGTCACTTTAGTCCGTAACTTTTCAATTGTGACACATTTGACCTTGAATTTTGAATCTTGTTTCAAATAAGGACAATTGAACATACCATTGCTTAATTTCAAGGGCAAAATTGTCAATTTGATAAAATATAAATTAATTTGACAAAAATAAATGTCAAAAAAATATTGCAAAATTTTTAAAAATTATTTCTACCCACCAAAGATAAAATTATGTAAAATTGATAAAAATTAATAAAAATTGCATGATTAATTTTTAAAAATTAATTTTACGTGATCATCATCCAAATACATAACAAAAATTAATTTGGTAAAATAAAATAAAATAAATGTCTAAAAGATTTATCAATTTTATATAATTTTATCTTTAGTAGGTAGAAATAATTTAAAAAAATTCAAAAATAATTTTTGAAATTTATTTTTGTCAAATTAAATTATATTTTATCAAATTGACGAATTTGCCCTAAAAAAATCCAATAGTATCTTCAATTGTCCTTATTTGGAACAAGATTTAAAATTCATGGTCAAATGTGTCACAATTGAAAAGTCAGGGACCAAAGTAACACAAACTCCAAACTACAAGGACCGTTGGTGTAATTCACCCTAAAAAATTTTGATAGTCTGATCCGAGTGAACTTTATCAGAACATTCAAAATATCTGATCATTTATCATGTTGTGGGTTCAAACCTGAGGGCACTACCAAGAGATGTTGATTTTCCATTTTAACAAAAAGTAAGGTCCAATAAAGGGTCTAATCATTTAAATTTTGTCATGTTTGTCGTTTAGTTGGGACATTTGAGTATTGGCTGCAAAGCCACATAAACAATGTGATCATAAATTACACTAACAGTGACGAGCATTCTTAATCTTGTGCACGATATGAATGTGGCTCTGCATGTTCAATGCATCACAGACTTTACATTCCACTGACTATTTCTTGACACTTTCTTTGCCCCACTTAAAAAAAATCCTCGTGTGTCTTATGGTTTCTAAAAATTTGTCCCCAGCATGACTCCCCACAATAAAGGGTTGGGCTACCCCTAGGTAATTAGACTGTAAAGTTTTGGTGTACCTCTTAGAAACATGAGTGATACCATATTCATGTCAAATTAACAGGAGGTTTGATTGAGTTATCTGCTTTAAGAAGCGTAGTTGACATTAGAGCTAAACAGCTGGCTTTTGGTAATCAAACCTTCAAAGCATGATTTTGAATACAAGCAGCATGCTACTAGACAAAGCGGTAGAGTGCTGCACCCTAGATGGCAAAAGTCCAGTAGCCGAAAGCTAAGTTAACAAATGATGGTTTGCTGCCAAAGCAAGCTACCCAACTAACAATTTGTCTCAAATTAAAGCCAAACCTTGCTCTCAATGCATAATATACAGTTTGCTGGAGGCATGGTGCACACGACATGGGTTTGCTAGAGTTCTTTAAGAATGAAGCCTTCCCTAGGATCTGGACAGCTCGATCAACTGTTGAAAAATAAAAAAAGTTGGCTTAGAGTTCATGCTACTTGCAGATCAAAATAGGATATGTCCTCTAATGGGCTTGAGGAGTGGTGGTGCCACTAGATGCACTATGGGTGGTGGGATGGTTTGGCAAGTTGGCTACTATTGGTTAGGTTGGGTCTTGGGTGCTGCTGGGCATCTGTGGGGGTAGAGGATTGTATGTGGCATGAGTGTACTTTGTGTTCTTTAACATGAAAGAGAGAAAAAAAAAAAAAAAAAAAAAACACGAAAAAAGGAAAAAAATAATATGAAACTTATGTTGCAGACTTGCAGTGTGGGAGTGAGGAGGAGGAAGGATAAGAGGGGAGGAGAAGGAGAAGGCGAAGGAGAAGGAGAAGGAGAAGGGAAGGAAAGAAAAAACGGAAAGAGAGAAAGTTAAGAGCGTGTTGTGGTGGTGGCATAGAGAAGAAAATTGGAGAAATAAATAAGGGTAATGTTGACTTTTCACAAAAACTGTCAGCAGAGTTACACTTTACACTTTCCAAACAAGAAGGATTCTAACTTGAAGGGAGTTATGTTGTTTTCAAACTAAAACACAAGGGAATAAAATGTAATTAACCCTTATTTATTTGTAAAAATTCCTATCACAGTTTTGTTGACAGAAGTCTATGTAAAAACCTGATTGTTTTGCAGTTGCACCTTAGCTTCAAGAATTGGTATCACATCAGTCTCATAATTTTCACACCTTCCTGCTTAGGTAGTTAATGGTGGGCTCTCGTAAAGATTGCTAGGATGATTGTTGGCTAACAACCTACACTTTTTGACGAGCCATTTGCTTAAGGTGCTGTTCATGATTTTGCAGGGAAGATATATGAGATTGGATCATCAGGCATAAGCAGTCTAATAGGGCACAGCAATAGAAGAAATAAATGCCTGAATGATTTCATCTCCCTGTATGGGACGATGCCTCTTGTACCAACTAACGTAAAAGCTGTTGATGCAAGACATGAATGGTTCTGGTAAAGAAGCTGATTGATTTGTTTGGCACCCACGGTCCTGGGACTGTTGCACACGATCACAGTTTGTTCAGTATTTTGTGCATCGTTCTCTTAGAGTGAATACCCTATTTAGCAAACACTTAATTTGATGTTTACACAACTCTTCCCGCTTGCATTTTGAACTTTCCACTTGTATATGTTTAGGGTCTTTGTATTTCTTTGGCTTATTGATTTTGTTGTAATTTTTTAACTATTTGTTGGACTTTTTATTCATAGTTAAACTTTCAATTGATGTAAGTTCTCATGATATGCTTCCATGAGGTTTTGAACCGGCCAGATATTAGCATCAATGGGTTAAAAGCCATTAGAAATTCCAAGTGTACATAAGATTCTCTCAGAATGGGATGCAGTACAGATCTGAGATAAAATGTGAGTTTTACTTGTGGACTACTTTTGTGGTCCCACCACCTTTAGATACTTTTATCTCAGATCTCTGTTTCATTATGGGAATTGTTTTTTGTATTTCTAACATAGCTGTAAGCGTCATTCAGTGGTGCCTTTGGATCCAACATGGTTCTTGGGATAATGAGTTAGTATGGCAATGCTTTCTTATGTAAGTTGAGCTTTAGAATAAAATTTGCTAAAGGAAGCATAAAATGATGAATGCTCTAGCAAGCAAATAGGTGGCTTATACCTATGTGGTACAGTAATATTTGGCAGTATTAATATATATATATACATATATTAAAAAATGATATACAAATTTATTTTCTAGATTTATTTTTTAGACCTAATAATGTGTAAGTATTATGATTAGCTGATAATTGAGAAAAATACGAGTGTTATCTTAAATATCTTAATTGATTGACACATCATTAGATTTGAAAATTCGGTCTAATTTTTGGACTTGTATAGTAATGTCTATATATATTTTTTCACAAAATAATAACTAATATGCTAATATTTAAATTACAATGAAGACGAACGTTTCTTCATAGATTCGAATTTAAAATTTTACTCATATTAGTATCTAAATGTCGGCTCCATAAGTACGTGGGCAAATATCCATCTAAAAAAAATATAATCACCTGGCCAATTAGCGGAGGTTTGACATCAGTAATATCTCGATTGTTGATGTGTAGGTTTTGACTTTTCAAAAGGTGTGTATAACACTATGTATAATTGTCACACTTTCTTGGAGAGATGGATGAATGTCTAGTTTAATAAATTTTTATGATATCAATGAATTATGTCATATTGTTTTTTTGAATAGAAAATTGTTAATAACTGTTAGTTTCTTATCAATGAGGTAAAAATTAGATCTTACATGGGTCAAACATGGGGTGATGGTGCATCCCCCAATCTTACCTTCCCTAAATGTGTCCTGGCGCAATGATCTGGTGATGATGTGAAATAAAATGATATTTTTTTATATATGATTTGGATTTTTTTTTATCACAATCACAAAGATAATATTTGTAATTAAAGAAATTAAGGTCAAGTTTAACAATTTAAAAATAATTTATTTTTTTATCTTTTTTTCATCACATCACCTCTCTATTTTTCTATACATCTTTTCGTAAAAAAACAAAAATTATGCTTATTTAGGTCATTTTAAACAATACCTAAATATTAATTATTTATAAAATTACCTTAAGATTTTGTTTTTTATGCCCACATTGCTTTGTCTGTTGTAAATTCTTTTCAAGTCTTTTAACGAGTAGACATAAAGCGTAATCTTCCCCTTTCAGTGAATATTACTCTACTTGTATCAATACTCTTAGATTTCTAGAAAATTAAAAAATAGTAGACATAGTGTATATGGAAATAGAAATTTTTTATTGAATATTTAAGCTATATAGATTATAAGAAAGATAAAGAGAACACTCTTATTCACTTATAAGACTTTGCTTCTTAACTCTACTTCTACAAGATGCAGTTACACGCTTTTATAGGCAAAGAGTGGACTTCAACTTCGGAATTGAAATGTATAAAATTAAAAGATAAGGTCTTTGTTACAAGATAAGAAATCTTTTACATTCCGATTTATTGAAACTAGCAACTTAGCAGTGGTATTTCCACTACTTTGGTTTTATTCATCATGTGACTCTTTTGTCTTCATTCACCATGTGATCTATTTTGTTGTGTCTCATTGGATGCATATGTCATGTGAGCTTTCTTTTGACTACTTCTATCTTGTCTTTATCTTCTATGTGACTTGTCTGGAAGATTTCTACTTTTTTTTGGCTTGATTTGTCATGTGAACTTCTGTATATTTGTTTAGAATTGCAGAGGTCCATATCATGCATTGATTCATAGTGAATTTTGGCTCTCCTCTTGATTTTGTAGAGTTTTCAAACAGCTACAAAAATGTCTGGTGCTTTAATTATCTATTCTTGGAGCATTTTGAGTATTTCCTTTGCTTTGTCATCTTCTTATTTAGAGGGTTCAATGAAAGCTTTTTCGTTTCTTACCACCACAACTTGGTCATGATAATTGTTTTTTGGATTGAAATTTTTGAGTGTGAGCACTTATTTTTTCAAATAACTCCACTTCAGGTACAGATTTACTAAGAGGATTAACTATATTAACCACTTTATATGTAAGCTTGTAATTAACATAAATATTTTTGCTTTTTACATTAAGGTTTTGCATACCTTGAGTTTTTATTTTCAGTTCTAATGCTCTATTAAGATTAGGATCTTCCAATGCCAAGAAATAATTTGGTTTGATAGTGAATCAAATGGGACCATTACACAATTTATTTTGAATTCCTCTAATTAAGAAATTTTGAAAACTATACCATCTATTATCCATGACACATATTAACATATGAATGACTTTTTCACCTGAAGTTTGAGGGTCTCACAATCTCTTATAAAGTTTAAGGGTTACTTTGTAATTATAACTATAAAATTAAGAAAGTTTAACTATAAAGTCTAACTATAAAATTATATTAAAGTTTTAGGGTTACTTTGTAATTTAAGAAACTTGAGGTTAGTGGGAAGATGAGTGAGATTGTTTGATGAGTGAAAAGATGAGGTGGATGAGGAGGTAGAGTGTCACCAAATTAAGGGTCTCTTTAGAGCTCTTAAATTAGAAATTTCAATATTTATTCGACAAATATGGGACAACATGTGAAGTACGAGATTGAATATGATATGAGTGTATACTTTGAGCAAAACTAATTAAATTTTCTTAGCAAAGAAAAAATAAAAATAAAAATGAAAGGGTTAAAATCTCAGGTTTGAGCAGAAAAATATTAGAGATTTATAATTTAAAATTGTAAATTCACTCACAATAACATAGCAATGCACTTGAGATTTACATAATTGAGTTTGTGACAAATAAAAAATTTAAACACCTAACTATCAAGTTATTTTATTATTAGTATAATTAGGAGAAATTTTTTTTAATCTCAATATTTTATCAATAATAAATATTGAATTACTGAACTCTAATACAAAATAGAGGGAACTTGTATAGGTGGGTGACAGGAAAAAAAACATTACCAACGCATGAGGAGTGCAAATGTATTTGTGGTAAGGTGCAAATGAAAGACCATGGGAGTACAAGTGTTGCACCATCTCATGTGTTGGTAATTCTGTTCCCATTCTCCTACCTTCATGCAGTTCCCATACAAAATATTGGGTCAACTAGAGGTAGGCACCTTTTTGGAAAAAAGAAAAAAAAGAAGAAAAATTACACGTTAGTATCTTTTAAAAAAAATTCAAATCAATGACAAATTTTATAAATATTAATAATTAAATTCATAAACGTTTTTATTAATCTGTAAATATTTTCTAACACCACTAATATGTAATTTTTCCAAAAATATATATATCTATAGAGAGAGAAAAAGTTTGATGTTGACCAAATTCAAGGATTTTATACCCTAAAGCATTTACAGGACAAATAGAATTTTGAAATAGGACAATTTCAAAACATAGTATACCGAATGGACGGTTGTTGGGTTTCGCTATGGCAATTTTCAGCACTCCATCGACAACTTTCCGACGAGCTTCTGGTGAGATATAAAAACATTTTGAAAGTGTAAATTTAGGCTTTTTATGCCTAGGAAAAAAGGTCTGGGAGCTTTTTTTCCCGATTTTTAATATAAATTTTTTAATTTTTAGCACTCACAATGATTCTCTCTTCTTTCAATGTTCCTCTCTTATCGTTGTGGGGGTTCTTTTTCTTCAATTTTGACTTCCGGCGGTGACTAATGTACAAGAAGGTAGCGGTAGAGTTGAGCAGCGACAACATGGATGACGATGATGGTGACGGCTAGACTGAGCTTTATTTTGATGGAGTTCATGTTTTTTAAACTATATCTATGTGAACATTAATGATTTTCCCATATCGCTGTTGTTCTTTGGCTGAATTTTGTAGTTTGTTATTGTAGTTTTGGTAGTGTTTCTTGTTTGGTCATTTGTTTTTTCTTTGTTATTGTTTTGTATAATGTTGACTTTTAATTTTAGGATAAATTATAAATGTATCTCTTGAGATATGTTTAAAATACGGATTGTCTCATATGGTTTGAAAAAATTATAAATACCCTCTTATCAGAATTTTATATTTAACAGAATTAATTGAAAAAAATAAAAATCCTAACTGCTCTCCTATACAATAACAAAATTACTTGAATTATTAACAAAAATAATTTTTTTATATCATTAAAAACTATTAATTAATTTAATGATTGATTAATAAAAAAGGCCTATTAAATTAGAAATTTCAAAGGACATGATGTAATTTTTAGAATCACATTCAACACCATAAATAAGCTGTTTATTGACTTATTTAGATTATATCACCTCTCCATTTTTTTACACGTCTTTTTATAATAAGTAAAAAACCCAGCTTATAAGTCATATCCAAAATTATAAGCTATCTTAGGGTACAAATCGTATTTTAAGCAAATCTTAAATGGTAGATTTGTAATTTACTTTTTATTTTAATATAACTATTTTATATCTTTTATTTTTTAATAAAAAATATAATTTATTAATTGTGAGTATTTTAATAAGAATTTTAATCTACTAACATGATTTGATGATTACAAATATTTTAAAATAAAAGACAAATTAAAATAGAAGATTTTTGGTGCCAAGCTCTGAGGGAGATTCTTCGTAATATGATAAATTTCTTTTGGCTTCTTTGCTCGTTATAAAACTTCTTTTGTTATTTTAACTTTACTTAAATTTTCAATATTACTATTTTATTTAATTTTTTATTTTTTATTTATGTCTTCAACTTTTGTGGTTAAGTTACACGAACAAATGTACAAAAAAAAGCTTATGCTAT